TTTTAACCCCCCCCCCCCATCCAGTCTCGCTTCCTAGTCTCACTCCCTTTCCCTTCCAGTCATTTCTATTCATCTGTACACATGGATTCCCCAGCTGATCCTGCCCCTCTACCTCTGGGCCTGAGCACTTACCTTTTTAGGTAGAGGCTGAGACCCCAAGTACTGAGGAGCCACCTGTCCCAGAGCCTGATATACCAGTGACACTCCCATCCCAATACCAGGAGGTGAGAACAGGGGCCCTGTCTGCAGGCAGAGGCCTTGGAAGGGCAGGGAGGGGAAGGGAAAAACTTGGCAGCTGCCTTGGACTCCAGCTGACCTGCGGCCTGGGGGTTGGTGCAGGCCAGTGCCGAGGATCTGTGTGCACTGTGTGGGGAACACCTCTATATCCTGGAACGCCTCTGTGCCAATGGCCGTTTCTTCCACCGGAGCTGCTTCCGTTGCCATATCTGTGAGGCCACATTATGGCCAAGTGGCTACGGGCAGCACCCAGGAGATGGTGAGTGGGCCTGGGAGGCATTCAGAGGGAGTCTGGGTCTGGCCCTGCTTGGGGGGGCCAGGAGCTTGAAGGTGGAGGGGAACCGGGGTGCTGGGCATGAGGTAGAAACAGGCTGAAGATGACAGTTTCTTCTCCTGAGCTCCGTCTCCTCTGTCCCCTCCAAAGCCCCAAATGTGGGGTTCTGAGAAGCCAGGAGGCTGGTAGAAATTTATCAGCCAATGCAAAGGCCTGTCACCCCCACCTTCCCTGATAAACTGAACATCTGTTCACCGGGCTGCCTACATCTGATGGCTCCTCCCCTCTCCCGCCTTCCCAGGACATTTTTACTGCCTCCAGCACCTGCCCCAGCCAGGCCACAAAGAGGATAGCAGCGACAGAGGCCCTGAGAGTCAGGTAAAAGCTGTGGAAGTGTGGGATGGGGGGTGGGAAAGAGGAAAGGGCTCTCTAAGCCTGAGACTTTGCTGGGGGTAACTGAATGTTCTCCACTAGAGTGTAAACTGCATGATGGCAGGGATCTCTGTACTGTCTTACTTGTGGATGAATCCCAAGTATCTAGAGCACTGCCTCACACTGTTCGGTAGATGGCATAAATGAATGAACGCCAGGGTCCACATCTGTCTCAAGGGGCTGCCTCAACCCACACTGGGCAGGTCACTGACCAGAGCATATGGTGGCTCTTCTAGGACCTTCTCACACACAGTGAGAATAACATGCCATCACGCCCTTCGATCCCCGGGGCCCCCCAGGAGGGGACCAGTCCTGTCCCAAGCCAGCCCACCCGTCGGCTGATCCGCCTCTCCAGCCCAGAACGCCAGCGGTTATCCTCCCTTCATCTCACCCCTGACCCGGAAATGGAGCCTCCACCCAAGCCCCCCCGAAGCTGCTCCGTCTTGGCCCGCCAGGCCCTAGAGGGAAGTTTTGTGGGCTGGGGAATGCCAGTCCAGAGCCCTCAAGGTAGCTGCTGGCCCAGGGTGGGGATGGGAGGGTGGTGTTCGGATTCTTGGACAGGGATGTGGGGAATGGGGAGGGAGGTCCTGCGGATCTCAGCCCATGTCCACTTCTCTGCTCAGTTCTTGTGGCCATGGAGGAGGAGGAAGAAGAGAGTCCCTGCTCCAGTGACGAGGAAGCAGAGGAAGACGTGCCGTTGGACTCAGACACGGAACAGGTGAGTGGGAGGAACCTGGCCACCTATTCTGCCCAAGCCAGCAGGCATCCACTAAACATACCCCGGCCCCTGCCCGGGAGAAACCCACAGCACCCAACCTCTTGAGCCCAAATGACTCTGAATGTCTTCTCACCCAGTCTGACTCTTTCATGTCTCTAGGCCTCCACCTTTTCTATCAGAACTTATCCCACCTCCAGCCCAGGGTCTTTCTGGTCCCTTTCAAATGGAGCTTTCCCAACCCCTATCCACCTGACCCTGTCATAGGTTCTGTGGAACTTGGCTAAGAACTCAGGCACCATGAACAGTTACCCAACGTGGCGTCGGACTCTGCTGCGCCGTGCTAAGGAGGAGGAGATGAAGCGGTTCTGCAAGGCTCAGGTGTGGCCTAGGGGTTCCCGGAGGTTCTAACGGGATCAGAGCTCCTCCGGGACTCTGTTCTTGAGCAATCCGCAGACTCCTGGGCCTTCTGTCTTGTACTCAGGCCATCCAACGGCGACAAAATGAGATCGAGGCTGCCCTGAGGGAGCTGGAGGCCAAGGGCACAGAGCTGGAGCTGGCTTTGAGGAGCCGGAGCAGTGAGTGAAGATGGGGAGGATAAGCGAGCCTAGGACACCTCTGCCTCCTGGCCCTGTGTTCCACCCCCAGCGACCCCCAGACTACCAGGCTGTGGCCCACAGCAGGTTCTGCTCCTCATGCCGTGATTCCTGTGACCCTGCTTAGAAGCCTGACTGGCCCCTCTTCTTCCTTGTCAGGTTCCCCTGAACAGCAAAAGGCACTATGGCTAGAACAGTTGCTACAGCTTGTTCAGAAGAAAAACAGCCTGGTGGCCGAGGAGGCTGAGCTCATGATCACGTAAGGGGTGTCGGAGTTGGGGCGTGGGGGGCGATGGCGTGTAAGCCAGGCCCCACAGCCAGGTCTTCGGTCACCCTAGACACCTGTGCCTTTCCTATCCCTGCCCCCCACAGGGTGCAGGAGCTGAACTTGGAGGAGAAACAGTGGCAGCTGGACCAAGAACTGCGAACCTACATGAACCGGGAAGGTAGGTGGGATGTGGGGAGGGGCTGGTATTTGCACAAGCCTTATGATCTCAGATACTGCCCAGGCAACAGTCTTCTTAGTCTGAGTACCTCTGAGGCTGAACTACCTTCTGAATTGCTTCTTGAACTGCAGGAAGCCAGAGGATGGGGCTCCAGGCCCACATTCCGCGCCTTCAGTTCAATCACAGCTGCACAATTGGGCTTTTACACAAGATTCCTTTAAAAGTGGTGTTGCTGCTAAACAATGCTAGAAAGCCATTAGTGTTGATAAACCAAATTCAGAGTGGGAAACAGCTGGGGTTGTAGAAGTCACACAGGCCGGGATTAGGTTGTGCCTCTCCTGCCGTCCTCCCCGTTCTCTGTTCTCTAAGTAAGTTTCACCTCCTCCCTTCAGAAACCCTGAAGACAGCTGCTGACCGGCAGGCTGAGGACCAGGTCCTGAGGAAGCTAGTGGATGTGGTGAACCAGCGAGATGCCCTCATCCGCTTCCAGGAGGAGCGCAGGCTCAGTGAGCTGGCCTCGGGGCCAGGGCCCCAGGGCTAGAACAGGGTAGGCTGCCTGTCTTCTTCTCTGCAAGGAAGACTGCCTCACCCCAGGACAGTGCCACCCTGTTCATCGGGGCTGCCTGGGAGAGGCCTCACTGTTTACAATAAAAAAGCCTCTGCCGTAAACAGGACTTTGGCTGCCTACAGGGGGGAGGTGGGGGAGTGTGCAGGGAGGGCAGCTGTGTAGGAGCCTGAAGGTCTACACTGTGACAATCACACCGACCCTTGGCCCCAATCACTGCCTCTACAAGGAAAAAGGCAGCGCCACCAAAGTGTCAAGCTTTATTGTTCCTCTGCTTTGTCTCCCTCCTGCTGCCCCAGGAGCCCGGCTGGCTGGGACTCTGGGCCCAGGTCCTGGGCCTCCCTTGCCCTTCCCAGCACATGCTGGAGCTCGGCTCGGGCCCGACACAAGCCCTTGGCCTCCTGCACGTGGAAGAGATAGAATGCACCTGCCCCCAGCACCAGTCCTACACTGGGGGTCCAGAGCAGTACAGCAACTTCCCTGATCTCTCCTCCAGCCGCCAGGGCACACAGCAACGCCAGGAGAAGAAGCCCTAGAACAATCACGTAGCCAGCGATGGTGGCCCACCAGCGACCTTGAGCCATGCCCTGGTCCAGTTCTGTCCAGGCCTCCCTTAGCACACTGATAAGCGGAGACCTCTCTGCTGGTCCTAGAACAAAGCGGGACAGTGGGGAGGGAGAGTGAGGGTCTGAGGGAGGGATGGGGCTGCCCCATGGGGAAGGGCCAAGGAAAAGGATGGGGCTGACTCACCATGGGTAGGGCTGGGGTTGTGCTGGGGGGGGCTGTGTCTCACATACAGAGTAGCCATCAGCGCCTCATGATCAGAGAGGGGGCTGCCACTGTGAGGCTCGTGGCCTGTAGTAGTTCTGAGAGTCTTACAGGAGATGTATAGCCCAGACACCGCCTAGAAAAAGAGCCAGAGAGAAATTTCTGAGAGCGCCTTTCCCAGAGGACCAGTTCCTGGCTATCCCATTCTCCAGCTGCCACTGATAAAGACTAGACTAGTTGGACAAAGAATCAGCATAGGCTGATGAGCCATGAAGAGAGACAGAGGCTGAAGGCACGTTGCAGGGAGAGGCCTGACCTTATAAAGCACATAGTCGATGCGGATACCCAAGGGGAACTGCTCTAGCTCCTGCCGGTTGACGTAGCAGTTCTGCGGTACCATCGTACAGCCTTCTTCAGGGCCCTAGGTAAACAGTGGGCTTGAATGAGGATGCAGGGGGAAGGAGGAGGGAGAGAGGCTGAGGGTGCAGGTGGGAAAATAACCAGGCAGGTCCTCACCTTGAAGTCCCGAGTCTCCAGATAGGCATCCTGCAGTCCCGTCCACTCCTTCAGCAGGCGGCAGCCCAGGTCCTTTGGGTGCAAGTTGAGGTCCCCACACAATAGAACCACATCAGCTTTCTTGGACGTGTGGCTGGGGGAACCAAGATGGTGAGGCAGGAACTCTTCCCTCATCAGCTCTGCCCTAAAACTGGGGCCTTAGCCACCCTCAGTTCCTGGACCCCATCCCACTTCCCCTGTCAAGCCCAGGCTCACACACTGGATGAACTGGGCCAGTTCCCAAGCTTGGGCCACACGATGTGCTAGGTAGATGTCCTTCTGTCGATTGTACTCAGCATGGAGCTGAACAAGATAGAGGAGATAATTGCAGATGAGACTGAGAGTCCCAAGGGCAGGAGTAAATCAAGCTTGCATCTGTCACTTGGCACGCTGATGGTAAAATATGTGTGAACCTTGCCTACTGGCCTTAGGAGATCCTGCTGCCATGCCTCACCCCAAGGCAGCCTGGCTAGAGGAGGAGTCCCATCTCCCTCCCAGGACCAGGCCGCCTGTCCCAGCCTTAAGCATTGCCACCCTCACTCACATGGGTCACGTAGGCGTTGAGCACCAATCCACCCAGACGGAGCACCAGCAGCCCCACGGCCTTCCCACAGAACCAGTCACCGTGGTGGATCTGTAGGCAGGAGGGGGCGGGAACTCAGGGCACTGCTACCCTCTTTCTTGCCCATCCCCTGCAGCCCTAGGAAGGCCAGCTCCTTTACCATGTGTTAGCGGGTGGCGGGGTGGGAAGGGAGGTGGAAGAGGTCAGAGGTCAGGCTCACCATGTAGGGGTAGCCATTGAGGGTGAAGACGTGCTGGGTGAATTCCTGGATTGGGTGTTTGGAGAAGACACAGAGACCACTGCCAATGATGCCACTGAAAAGCCAAGTCCTAGTCAAGAGCCACAAAAGCAGGGAGAGAAATACCCAGCCCCCTTCCCCTCCCTCGTCTCCCAGCACCTATCAGCTACTTTTTCTCCCTCTGCTGCTGGTACCACCCCAGATCAAAGCTCAAAGAGACGGCGTTTACGTGGGCTGACAGAATGGCCTGATGATCAATCTGATGAGCTGAAGAGCTAGACCTTCCTCATTCCACCTTCTCCTGCTGCACACCCAGAAGAGAGGACGCTGGGGCAGAGGGAGGCGGGAGCAGGAAGCACGGGGAAGAGCCAAGGGCCTCCAGCTCCGAGACCAGGCTTCGGGGCCAGTGGGCTTCTCACCTCCTGAAATAATGTGCTGCTGGGTAGGCGGGTAGCAGCTTCTGCCTCAGGAACTGGAAGTCCTGCTCGCTCCACACCTGAGGGGAGGGGTGACGATACCTGCCGGCCGTTTCCCCAGGGCGGGAGCCCCCGCCCGCGCCCCAGCCGCCCCCACTCCCGCCGGGCTTCCACACCAGCTCCGCGCGGCCCCACCTCCTCCAGGAGAGCTAGGTCGAAGCTCTCCCTGTTCAGAAAGTCTCCCAGGCGCTTAATGCGGTCGGCCCGCTGCTTGCTCAGGTAGGGAATGCCCCTGAGGACGAAAAGCGCAGGGGAGGTGACGGCTGGGGCGCTCGGGGCAGCAACGGAGCTGGGGTCAGGTGCGGGGCCCGGAGGTAGGGGTTGCCCCGCACCCCGAGGGTGTAGGGCAGGGGAGCGCCGTGGGCTGGCTGTGAGAAAGGCCTCCTGCCTCTGGCGAGCGGGACGGCGGCCCCAGACCCGGGTCGGCGGGCGCACTCACCAGCAGTTGAGGTTAAAGACCCTCAGTCGCAGGGAGAAGTTGGGCTTCATGGCGGGGACGCTGGGCGGCGCGGGACGGCTCGGCCTCCGCAGCGACGGTCGCGTTGGGGACAGCGGCGGGCGCGCGGCCTTCCCCGCGGGGCACCGCGCACAGGTGGTCGCCCTGCTCCCGCTCTCCAGGGAAGGCCGCGGCCCCGAAGTGTCCGCGCCCGGGGACTGACTCCCGCGTTACCCGGGCAACCGGCCGGCTGGCCCCAACCTGGCTGCGCGGCAACCCGGAAAGGCGATCTGCGGTGAAATCAGGCGCTGACTGGAGGCGACTACCGCGCTGGAGGACCCTGGGCTTGGGGTCCCAGAGGAGGTCCGTGGCGGGGGGCGGCGGCGGCGAACCACGCTGACGCACGCTAGGCGTGGGGTCCCTGTTCCTTTTCTCCGAAGCTCGTCGCTGGTGGCGGCCGCCCACGCGCCCTCTCCAGCCTCTTGACCGCCTTAACAGCAACAGGCACAAAGTTAAGGAAAGGCCCGACCTTCGCCGACCGCCCCGCCCCCGGCCCCCTCCTTCCGGCGAGCGGCGGGGGCGGGGCCGCGGCCGCGCGGTTGCCCTGGCGACGCGCTATGTTTGCGACCCGAGGCGTCCCTTCGCGCAGCCATGGCGAGCAGCTCGCAGATGCCGCCGGAGCAGCCGCTGCAGGTGAAAGTGGTGGGGCTCTTCAAAAGCTCCAGCTTTCAAATTGCGAAGAGCGCCGCTGAGGTAACCGCGAAGAAACCGCAAGGGCGGGAAGGCCCGTCCCGCTTCCGAGTCGTGCGCCTCCTGGTGGCGGGGGTCGAGGTTCAGGGAGGGTAATGTCCCGGCCGGGGTGGGCTGTCTCTGGATGGATCTCTGCGTGCAGAGGGCGAAGGCCGGTCCAGGCGGGAGTTACACTTTGAGAAGGGCTACCTTTAAAGGGAGATCCGAGCGAAGGAATCGTTCAGAACCTTCTGGGGAATAAAGGTGATTCCTACCTCTACGTTAACACACATTTTATCCCACGGTTTTTTTTTTTTTTTTTTTTTGCGGCACGCGGGCCTTCCCACGTTAATTTTTAACTGAAATTATAGATTTTAAATCTTTGTGAAAAAAGTGTTACCATATAACTAGCTGATTTTTTTTACAAACTCCTTTTCCAAGTGATTTTTGAAAACTATTCATTCGGGGAGGGGTTTTGTTGTTTTTCTTTAAAGTTTCTATAGCAGTCACTGCATTCCAGTTGAATTAGGTGCTTATGGGATTTCTTAACAAATGACCCACAAGTGCTTTGGAGACTACAGACATTTCTTTGTAAACATGCAGAACAATGTAAAATGAAAAATACTTTAAGTAACTGGAAGAATTAGGCCAGGTCAGTAATGCCGCAGCATTCCTACAACCCGAATGCAGGAGCAATGCAGAAGTGCATAAAATGTTGAAATGTAAAATTCAGCACTTCTTTGGGGTTTGCTCCAGAAATGCTGTTGTAAGATTATGCCAAGCTTCTCTCCTTCAAAACCCCACTAGTCTCCAGGACAATGCCTTATTCATGTCTGTGTCTCCCAAAGTACCCAGCTGGATACTTGAAACAAAATGTTCCCAAATAGAATTAATCTTAAGAAATTCCTAACTTCTTACCTGCTCCAAGTCCACAGAGTTACAGTCTGAATTTAAATCAAGTCAGGAAATAGTGACTAATTTGTGAAATAGGTAAAGTTTACATCAAGATGAAGAGAACAAGTGATAAGAAGTCTGTGAAAATGATACATGGATCATTAAAAGAAGTAGAAATTATGGACTGTGTTAGCTGGGCTGATAGGATCAGCAAAGTTATATGGCTCAAATTGTATTTAATAAGTGTGAGGGATTTTTTTTTCTCTTGTTTTTCTTAGCTTCTTTTCTGAAGGCACATGTTTTCTCCACACTGTAGAGAAGATGTTGGCATATTTTTTTTTTGTAAAGTCCACATATAAAATTATTAGGGCTTTGGAACCATAGGTTCTCAGTCATGACTACTCAACTCTGTCCTTGTGCAAAAGCAGCCACAGACAGTATGTAAATGAATGGTGGTTTTCCAATAAAACTTTTATTATGGACACTGAAATTGGACTTGCATATAATTTCACAGGACATGAAATGATTCTTCTTGTGATTCTTTTTCAACTGTTTAAAAATCTAAAAATTATTCTTAGTTCTCAAGTCTTACCAAAACAGGGAGTGGTCCAGCTTTGGCCTGCTGGCCACAGTTTGCCATCCCCTGCTGCAGAGGACACTAAGTCAAGCAAACAACGTCTTTATTATATTAATAATTTTAATTTTCACTTAAGTTTTGCCTACTGTAGCTCTATTTGAATATGAAAATATATGAATGTAAATTCAGTTAGTTCTATGTTAATAAAGGATCCTTGAATATGTTTCCAACATGATCACTTGTGAGCAATCCCTGATGCCTAATTAACTGAAAGATTTAGATTTATAAAGAGTATTACATAATGTAGTCCATTCTGGAACAAATTATGAAGAAACCATGATTAAGTATGCTTAATTTGAAAACTATTGGGCTTATTAGTTATTCCAGATGGTCCCTCAGAAACAGCAGTCATCCTGCACGACTGCCTCAGACAGAGCACAGACGCTGGAATTGAGAAAAAGGACACATCAGCTGTTAGTTGGGTACAGACTAAGAAGGAAATGGCCAGATTGCTATTGCCCTCTTCTGCTACCCCTGGTCCCAAGGCAGGGTACACTCACGTCCTGGCTTTCTCCCCCTTGGACTATCCACCCTGGATGAAGCACACCAAGTCAGTGTCCCTTCAGACCACAACAGAAGTGGCCAGATGACACTTTTCCCTTGTTGGTCCATTTACTTCTCAGACTTGCTCAGAAAGGTGATGCCTAACCGTTACTGCCTCAACTGCCTTCCCTTGCTTTAGGAGGAGGCAAAGTGTAACATAACAGGAACCAAAACTTTTTTTTTTTGACAGATGTTGTTAACCAGTAAGAATTTTCTCTGATTCATACAGACAAAACAAAACACATTACGTCAATACATGTCTAGACCAAAACACATTTAATATTTACTTCTTTTTCCTAAGGGGTATAACCACAACAATATCCTTTTGGTCACTCTCCATATGTCAGTCAATTAAAGCAATAACATTTATTTTAGTTAAAAGCATCCATAGAGGGGCTTCCCTGGTGGCGCAGTGGTTGAGAGTCTGCCTGCCGACGCAGGGGACGCAGGTGTGTGCCCCGGTCCGGGAAGATCCCACATGCCGCGGAGCGGCTGGGCCCGTGAGCCATGGCTGCTGAGCCTGCGTGTCCTGAGCCTGTGCTCTGCAATGGGAGAGGCCAAAACAGTGAGAGGCCAAGAGTACAAGCCAGTGACGTTAATTTACATTAATGTTCTCCCTTCTTTGTCTTCTCACTTGTTTCTGGTGTGATACACTTTGGGTGCCCTCACCATGTAAGCTGTTCTGCTTGTATATGTGCTGCCTCTCAAAGTCTCTTAAATATTCTAGGTCAGAAATCCCTGTAGCACTCACTAAGCTCCTTGAATGAAGGAAATTAAAAAAAAAAAAAAAAAAAAAAAGTATCCATAGATCCACTGAGGTTTAGTAAGAGTTTAATTTAGGGAAAAACTGGTCCTAAAAGAACATGGCAGGTCACAAAACTATTGGCATAAACTCACTTGTACATTTGTTTATGCAGCTGCTATGTGTGGATGGTCCACTATGTACCAAATATTGAGGCCAGTGGGAAACTAAGACATAGTCTTTGCCCTCAAGGAGCTTATTCTCTTCAGATGAGAGACCAATTAGTATGGCCTGGGGAGGGACTTACTGGAGGTAAGCACAGGGGCCTCTGGGAGCCGGCAAGGGGCATCTAAGCCAGACTGGCTTGGGTGTATGTTGCATAAAACTTCCTGAAGACCCCATAAAAACTGGGGGGAATGATTTCTACTTTAAAAGAGAACTTACTTACTCTAAAATAATTATTCTATTTTGAAACCTAGAGTCTGAAGAGTAATTATCCATCCAAATTTGAAGACCCTATAATAGTTCCTGTTCAAGAATTTGCATGGGATCAATATCTACAGGAGAAAAAAAGGGTAAAGGATATTTGGGGTGTGGGAAATGAGCCAAGTTTTGCCTGATTTATTTACATATGCATTGGTTTGGAAAAACTGAAGCAGTAATTTTGATATAGCTAGATTTTATTTCTCTTAATTATGTACTTTTCCTAAATTATTTCAGTCATTTTACCAAGCTGATTTTAAGAAAGAGTCAAACATTTACAGAATTTTCTTTTGGAAAGCATGTGATAAAGGTAAGTTTTAAACTCTCAGTGCTGCTATTTACTCCTGCCAATGGCGACCCCTCTTTCCCAGCATATCACTTACTCATACTTCCTGTGACACCCGGGCACTCAGGTTACTGTGGCCTGGCACTCTTTTTGGCCCTAACTCTGGAAGGTTTCAGTGGTGTCCAGCACAGATATAGCAGGAGAGCATGTAGGGTTGCCTAGGGGAGCTCTGATGGTAGGCGCCAACTTCCCACAGGGTAGCCGTGTCCTAATAGAAGCTTCCTTCTCTGCATTCTCCCCCCTAACAATACCCTTGGAGAACTCCAGACCCTAAGGCTGGCAGAGCTTATCCAGGGATGGCAGATTGGTTTCCTCTTGGGTGCCATCCCTGATTAACTGGTAGTGCTGCCTGGAACATGTGGCATCCTGGCTCAGATACAGCTCACGTTGGGGGGCAGACTAGAATGGGTACGCCTCCTGCTTGTCACCCTTGGCCTAGTCCTCTGGAGAGGCCCAGTCCTGGCTTCCCTGCCCAACCCCATCTCTCAGTGGCTGAGGAGATCCCATTTCCCCTGACCAGAGCAGTTTTGATTGTCCTGTGCTAGACTGCACAAGGATGTCTTGTGATTTATCATGCACATGGTGCTGCTCTACTTCACTCTCTGCTCAGTCACATGAACGGTGCAAAACTGAGTCAGGAATACCATATGTTAAGTCTCATACCATTTTCACAGCCACAGTACATTTTCATTATATAATTCAAACAGAACCATAACAAACACTTACCTATGGTGCTTATTATATGCCAGGCACTATTCTAATGACTTCTATAAATATTAACTCTAATCATTACAACAGCTAGGGTGACCAGTGGTCCTGGTTTGCCTGGATCTGAGGGGTTTGCTGGAATGCACGAATTTCAGTGCTAAAGCTGGGATGGTCCTAGGCAAATCGAGACAGTTGGGCACCCTAACGTAAAACAATGTGTTTTTCTTAAATTTTATCACCAAACTTCCTAAACTGCCTATCGTACTGTGCTCTCCACCTACAGGAGAGCCATGATTTCATGCTTCGTGGTTTGCACCCATTCCTCTTCCGTATTCCCACCATACTCTGAAACACTGCTGTGGATTCTATTCTGCAGTTTCTGACCCTTGTCAGCCTGAGTTGCTAACCTTGAGCTGTTTTGTGTTCTCTTCCTTCTGCTTTTCTCATGGGGCCTGAATGAGGCTTCCTAGGTCATCAGTGCTGCTTCTTCCCACATATCGTTAACTCCTGTCTTTCCTTTCTTCCCCCGCCCCCCCATCTCCTGGATACTCGCCACCTTAACCTCTTCTTCCTCTTCAGGCCAGCTTTTTTTTTTTTTTTTTTAACATCTTTATTGGAGTATAATTGCTTTACAATGGTATGTTAGTTTCTGCTTTATAACAAAGTGAATCAGTTATACATATACATATGTTCCCATATCTCTTCCCTCTTGCGTCTCCCTCCCTCCCACTCTCCCTATCCCACCCCTCCAGGTGGTCGCAAAGCACCGAGCTGATCTCCCTGTGCTATGCAGCTGCTTCCCACTAGCTATCTATTTTACATTTGGTAGTGTATATATGTCCATGCCTCTCTCTCACTTTGTCACAGCTTACCCTTCCCCCTCCCCATATCCTCAAGTCCATTCTCTAGTAGGTCTGTGTCTTTATTCCTGTCTTAGGCCAGCTTTTTGTTCTCCTTTCACATAAGCATTGTCTTATGTTATACATAGTGCTTCTTAGCACATTTCAGGTTAGTTTGCACTGGCCTCAGTGCTTCAGTATAATGTAAAGCCAACCATGAGGGATGGCTTCAGAGCCTTTGGGAAGGCCCTTTTTCCCCCTCCAAAGAAAGGCAACATCATACCTTTTAGTGCTGGAAAGCCCTAGAAAACATCGTGTCCAGCCTGCTGTCTTGAGGCAGGCGATGAGGGCTCCTAATGTATAGAAGACACCCAGACAAGGCACGTAATTTTCAGCCTCCGAATAAAGTGTACCTGCTACTGCATTTCTCCTACCAGGCTAGCTAATATATCCACAATTAAACTTTCCCTCCCCTTTTTAAAGTTTTGTGTCCTGTAAAATCTGAGAACCCTGATGAATTTCAACATTCCAGGGAGTACTGACCCATAGGCTCAGCGATTGACAGTTCAGCATGAACAAGTTTAGGACGTGAGGAATCTGAAGCGAGCTCCTCCTGAGAGAAGAGTGGGGAATGGAGCACGCTGGCAGCTGAAGGCAAACCGTTCCCCAAATCGGCGTTTCTCCAAGTGCGGTCTCCAGACCAGCCACAGCAGCAGCGTCCCATGGGATGTTGTTAGAAATGCAGATTCTCAGGCCCAACCCCAGAATAAGAAACTTGGGGTGGGGCTCAGGAAACTGTAATTCTGACTGCCCACTAAAATTGGAGAACAGCTGTCCCAGATGATGCATGGCTTTGCCAGGACTGGCACCGGGTAATAATAAACCAGATCTACTAAGAGGCCACATTACTCAGTGGCCACACACTGAGGTTTAGGAGGTTGGCTGGCAGTGCTGTATGGATAAAAACACCAATGCACTTCATTCTTAGGGGCTTAGGGCTTAAAAGTGTTAAGGAGGGACTTCCCTGGTGGTCCAGTGGTTAAGACTCCACACTTCCACTGCAGGGGGCGCAGGTTTGATCCCTGGTCAGGGAACTAAGATCCCACATGATATGCAGCCAAAAAATAAATAAATAAATTACTTGAGTTAAAAAAAAAAAATTGTTATGGAAGGTGAGTTCTCTTCATCACGGCCCCTGGTGTGCCCCGCAAACTGCTGCTGGCCCTCAGGAGGCATTTCCTCACCTGGTCTGTTTTCCCTCCACCAAAACAGCATTCTTTCCATCCTTCCCATTGAAAACCATGTCTTATTTAGGACCCCTAACCAACTATGCCTACAGTAAAATGTGCTTCAGAAATGAAGCTAAAAGATTGCATTTTGTTTTCAAATTAATATAACAAGTATGCTATGCACACAGACTTTTATTACCAGATTACCATCTATTTTCTAAGATCGTACCATTTTAAAGATCACTGTTAGGTCATTCTTTGATTTCAACACCGTCAGAGTCTTGAAAATGTTCTTAAATTCCCTTTGAGAGCAAAATTCTGAAAGATGGCAAAAAATATATTTTTTAAAGATTCAGTCCTAGGGTTGATTCAAGCTCTGGCTTGTGGGTTTAGCTAAGTCCCCCGCCTCATTCCTACCCCCACCCCCCACTATGTTTTTTTGGTCCTTTTCCTTTACAGGAACTTAAGAATGAAATCTGGGAATATTCTTCCTATGTGATGTGTTTTATTAATGATCAGCTCCTGGGTGATGCACTTGATCTTCAGAAATGGGCCCACAAAGTGTGGGATATAGTTGATTTTAAGCCTCCTGCACTTTATGAAGCACTTACTATGGACTATTCTGCGAAATTCTTAAGAGACACGAAGGCAAGTTGCACTAATTTTTTAAAGGAAAATAGTGGAATCTTTGAGCATTTACATTGATTGACCATTAATTACTGATAACCTAGCAAAGGGAATATAAAAGAGTAAGAGACTAGGTTAAGTTCTCAATGACCTTATGATCCAGTTGCAAAGGATTCATGGCAGGGTTTGGCTTGGTGGTGTGTAAAGCAAGCCTATCTCACAGCAGGCAGATGGCACCGGGAGAAGATCATCCCTGTTCAAACATTTCTACTCCCCGCTAGAACCTTATATGCATTAATTGTCATCTGTTTAAAAATATTAAGACCTTCCCCCTCAGAGAAGGTCAAGCCTATCCTTCATTCACCTTTAGCATGAAATATTTTAATTAATACTTTCTAACACCTAAGTGACAGCTACTGCACTAGAGAATGGCAAGTTTGTGAAGGTGACGTTTTAAAGCATGACACATAGTTGGCAAGAGCAGGACTAGACAAGCTATGGCATTGGGGAGGTTTCCAATGGCAGAGGACAGTTAGGAAGTGTGAGGTCCAGAGAGCAAGAGACAGCCATCAGGGTGGAATGGCAATAGAGGTAAAAGTATGTCATTTTGCTCAGAAACCTCGTAGCCAACAGCTACCACATGCTGAAAATTATTTCACGCCCATGGTGGCCTGTGCCTACATAAAGACCCAGTACTAGGATCTGAGTTGTGCAAAGACAAAGACCTTGTCTCGTTCACCCTTGTTCAACCACTGCCTTGAACAGAATCTGAAACATTGGAGGTGCTCAGTGAATATTTTGTTGAATAAACAATGCACTTGGAAAATGCTTGAAACTCTAGGGTGTGGGGAGGAAGTTAACATTCATAGCAGTTCATTCCCAAAGGGTCAGGAGTCTAGAAGTACACGGTGTACTCTGGGAATGGCAGGGGACAGCAGGGAGGCCAGAATTAGTGGGAAACGACACTGGGAAAATGAGAATCAGTCAGGATTCTTGGTGCCAACAGTACCAAGCTGTTCTCACTAACTTGAGGAGAAAAAGTATGTATTAAAAAGATGTTGGGGGGGCTTCCCTGGTGGCGCAGTGGTTGGGAGTCCGCCTGCCGATGCAGGGGACATGGGTTCGTGCCCCAGTCCGGGAAAATGCCACATGCCGCGCAGCAGCCAGGCCTGTGAGCCATGGCCGCTGAGCCTGCGCGTCCGGAGCCTGTGCTCCACAACAGGAGAGGCCACAACAGTGAGAGGCCCACATACTGAAGGAAAAAAAAAAAAAAAAAAAAAAAGGGATGTTGGTAACCTCACAATTGACAGGAAAGCTGGAGAACCAGCTTTGGAAAGCAGGCAGGAACCAAGGGAGACCTGGCAGCAGGAAAACATGGCCAGAGTCACACCCCAGGAATGTGCAGCCAGGATGCTGCCATGGGTGCCCAATGGCCCTAATGCTGCCTTCACCGAGCATAACTTCTCAGCTCTCCTTGGGTCTTCGTCACTTCCTATACATCTAAGGCCCTGGGCAGGAGCACCTGACTAGTCAAGCCCAGGTTATATGCCCACACCCTGGCTCACACATAGCGGGGAAAGAGAGGAGGTTCTCCAGAGGCTGGTGCAACCTTGTGAGGAGTTTCTCAAATAGGAAAGGTGCTTAGATGTTTAACAAAAACAAACCCCCAAACCAGATACACTAGAGAAAAGCTGAACTTACTGTCCACTCTTAACCAGTTAGTTAGATTTCATCCAGAAGGAAGCAAGCCAACAGAACTTTTCATCAAGAGTATGACATCATCTTCTTTTGTGTTTCGGAAAAAATTTTAGGGCTGTGACCAAACAGGGTACAGCGGGGAAAGCATGGTGGCAGGGTGACCATTTGGAAATCTGCTACAGTAGTGTGAGCTAGAAATAATGACAGCCTGAATTAATTAGTGGCAGTAAGGAGAGAGGACCCAGATTCCGGAGAAAATCCTTGGATTTTTTGCACAGAGGCTAGATTTTTCGTGCTGAGTAAAACCCAGGGACTTGTTTACTTCTGGTTTGGAATGATATAGCAGACAATTAGGTTTGGCTGCTAGGTGACATTATCTTGTGTCACAGTCACTTGCTCTCTTTTCATTAGAATATTTAGAATTATCTGCTCTTGACAACCACATAAAGATAATATATTGATGCCCAGGGAAGTTTAATGATGTCTGAATGGACTCACTCACTTCTGAAATCAATTATGACTTGCAATATGTCCTTTTTCCTCCTAAACCTATGAAGTTTACTAAATTATGCCTCTTATTCTAAAGTTATAATATTCTTTTATAATTAACTTGTAGTACAGAAGCTTAGAGGCACAAACAATTAATTATAATAAGTATGGATGTAATACTTCATTCCTGGATGCCAGATATTACAATACTATTTCAGTCTTTTAATTAAAAAAAAAGCTTAGAGCGACATAAAATAATGATAGTGATACAACTAAAAGTGATTTCATTTATGCCTCCTAGATTCTTAAGAAATAGGGCAGGGCAAATGATGTACTTGTTAAATCAGGCAGCATTTTTATATATGAGAATGGTGACTAAGAGGTGAAATGTATTCCATTAGATGTGTTCTGCTCCCTAAATGAATGCTACTGTGATGGACAACAGTGTTTTCACTTTGGATGCCTCTTTGTAGGGCTAGACAAGGGCTCACAAATGTTAGTTGTCTCTACCAGAAAGTATGTCAATTGAAAACAAGAGCTGGGGGCATCTGGGAGTATGAGGTCATGAATGAAATAACTCAAAAGCACAGCATCCTCTCTTTCCTACCCCTGGTATGGTACCTCCTTTTCATATAGTGGCCTTATTTTCCTGCTCAGAAAGACTGTGGGCTGGCTCTGCTCAGCTAATCTGTGCAGTCTCTGAAAATCCAGAACACACAATAACCCAATCCATGGGCTCATGTTGGACCTCTTCCCAGAATTACTCAGGAAAGAAAAGAATTCCCAGTCTGCTGCTTTTTCCAGAGGGAATGACCAGTGTTCCTTTCCACACCCAGTTTGTGATGCAGTGGATATATAGGCCATGTGCTGTCAGTCTTGTGTGATAGGTTAATGTGATTCAGAGCTTTACCACTTAAGGGTTTTAAAAAGCATGTTATTTAGGTAGTAAAATTTTGGTATAATGAAACAAACATCCTTAAGTCATTCTTTGAATTTTGCTGTTACATTATCTACTGTTAATGCTGTCAATCATCTTATCACTGAAAACATTATTCTATTATATTTTTGGTCATTTCTAAAACTTTCTGCTAAAACACTGACCTGCATTACCTTCTTCTCTCTAATTTTAATAGCATGATTTTGTGTTCTTGGACATTTCTATTGATTTTTATCCAATCGGAAGATTGATTTTTGAGGTAAGAGGTTTTTGGTTGTTGTTTTTTAATAAGTTGGGGGGAGTGACAATCTCTGTCAAAATGTTAAGTTTTTAATCTATGAAACCTTTTCTCTTTATTTTTAGCTATATTGTGATACATGTCCCAAAACATGTAAAAATTTTCAGATCCTGTGCACAGGAAAAGCAGGGTTTTCCCAAAGTGGCATTAGGCTACATTACACAGGTTCCATTTTTCATCGAGTGGTACGGAATGGCTGGATACAAGGAGGAGGTGAGTTTAAAAGCTTAAATACAAATTAGTTGCAACATTAAATCAAAATGTCCAAACTTTTATCTGCCTTTGTGAAATTCATATAGAATTAGATATATTTAATATTAGATGTTATATATATATTTAAAGGATGTTTTATATGGCCAAATGATGAATTAAGATATTCATACTCTTTTTAAAAATTCCCTAATTATTAAAATAAACAAATCTAAAGTGTGTTACCAGGAATATTCCAGGTTAAAAAGTAATACAAGCAAGTAGGATAGAGCAGAAGCAAGAAGAACTACAATCCTGCAGCCTGTGAAACGAAAACCACATTCACAAAAAGATAGACAAAATGAAAAGGCAGAGGAGCATGTACCAGATGAAGGAACAAGATAAAACCCCAGAAAAACAACCAAATGAAGTGGAGATAGGCAACCTTCCAGAAAAAGAATTCAGAATAATGATAGTGAAGATGATCCAGGACCTCAGAAAAAGAATGGAGGCAAAGATCGAGAAGGTGAAAGAAATGTTTAACAAAGACCTGTCCTAGAAGAATTAAAGAACAAACAAACAGAGATGAACAATACAGTAACTGAAGTGAAAAATACACTAGAAGGAATCAGTAGCAGAATAACTGAGGCAGAAGAACGGGTAAGTGACCTGGAAGACAGAATGGTGGAATTCACTGCCATGAAACAGAATAAAGAAAAAAGAATGAAAAGAAATGAAGACCAAGAGACCTCTGAGACAACATTAAACGCAACAACATTCACATTATAGGGGGTCCGAGAAGGAGAAGAGAGAGAGAAAGGACCTGAGAAAATATGTGAAGAGATTATAGTCGAAAACTTCACTAACATGGGAAAGGAAATAGCTACCCAAGTCCAGGAAGTACAGAGAGTCCCAGGTAGAATAAACCCAAAGAGAAACATGCCGAGACACACAGTAATCAAATTGACAAAAATTAAAGACAAAGAAAAATGATTAAATGCAACAAGGGAAAAACGACAACATACAAGGGAACTCCCATAAGGTTAACAGCTGATTTCTCAGCAGAAACTCTACGAACCAGAAGGGAGTGGCATGATATATTTAAAGTGATGAAAGGGAAGAACCTACAACAAGATTATTCTACATAGCAAAGATCTCATTCAGATTTGATGGAGAAATCAAAAGCTTTACAGACAAGCAAAAGTTAAGAGAATTCAGCACCACCAAACCGGCTCTACAACAAATGCTAAAGGAACTTCTCTAAGTAGGAAACACAAGAGAAGAAAAGGACGTATAAAAACAAACCCAAAACAATGAAGAAAACAGTAATAGGAACATACATATTGATAATTACCTTAAATGTGAATGGATTAAATGCTCCAACAAAAAGACACAGGCGGGCTTCCCTGGTGGTGCAGTGGTTGAGAGTCCGCCTGCCGATGCAGGGGACATGGGTTC